ACTAGGCCTCCCAGAGTACTAGGATTACAGGCGTGAGCCACCGCGCCTGGCCTAGATAGATAATCTCAAGAATCTGAATGTATAGGAATATTTCATATATAGCCAAGGAAACTCTGCCGAATAGAAAATAAGAAATCAACATTTACTACAGAATGAAAAAATACCATGAAACAATGGAATTATTTCAAGGTTAAGCTGGGCAATTTAAAGCAATAGATAGACCCTGTAAATGAGGACAGAGAAGCAGGAGAGATACCCTGTACATCAGGAGTACTGCCTACCTGCTGTTCTGCTAAGCTACGCTATATACGAACTTCAGATGACGAAATACAAAATGCAGAAGGAAGGAGGAAAAAGTCCTTTTTGAGGCCATGAAACAATTTTAATTATATATGTTAAGTAATAAATATAAAAGTTTTCTTGCCTGGATTATTTGTCCCTCAAACACTGAACAACAAAATAATGAGACAAAAATAACAGCATAGAACATCCTTTCCAATCACAGCCACCTCACGCACATTTGTAGACACCCATACCTTGTTCTAAAAGTTATAATCCTCTATTAAGAAGTAATGTCCCGCCCCACCCCTGAAAAAGGAGGGGGGATGAATATCCATTTATCCATTTAAAGATCAAGTATAAACTAGTCCAAGCCAGTGAGAGGAACACAAAGGGAAAAAGTAAACAGGCTGCCCCCAACCCCCCAAATAGTTCCCCTTTGAAAGTTCTAAGTGGTAAGTGCCTGGTACCAAGGGCTGCTGTGCTCCTTGGAGGGGTCAGCGAAGCTATGCTAAACTGACAGGTTCAGTTTACAGCAGGCCAGAACTTTGTTTGGATATACTGGCCTTGTTCACCGCCAGCTTAACAACAGATGGCTAGAAAACTTTCATTATGTTGCACAGGACTGAACTGCAAACAATCCAGAAAACTGTGAAAAGTTTAACTCCATCTAAACCAATGTGCCAAACCAGGGCCCGCCCAGAGCCAGCGAACCAGCTTAGGGCCCAGGGGACTGTGGAAGCAATGGTTAAAACAAAACTGCCCAAGTCAAGGAAAGGCACCTTTCCAGCCTCCAACACAGCAGCAACCCACCCAAGTCTTTATTTAACTGTTCAAAGGACAGGCTTTATAAGGACTTGTACTGACTATGCCTTTTTTATTTTCCCAAAATGTACCGTCAGACT